AGATGGATTTTCTAGTATTTCTGGAGAGCCATTCCCTGACTCCATTTCCCCTTCCAAGCCCACCTGACAGCATCATGAGATCTTGATCCCAGGGGTCTACCTTGACCTCGTTGAAGTCTGTGAGTTCCTGCCCTAAGCCCAACTCCGGCTGTGGAGAGTCGTCACAATACAATGTCATCATGTATCGTGCCCCACTGCCTCCCTCTCTCTGGAAAAGTGGTGCCCACTAGCTCTTGGCAGAGCAGCGGTTCTGTGGAATGCAAGGGCAGTGGTGGGAGGGTAGGAGAGGGGCATTGAACAGATTTTCTGAATGGAGCATTTCACATTTCTGTGGAATGAAGAGGCATGAGAAATCCAGGAGAGGAACTTGGAGTGGAGAGAAAAGGCTCTTGGCCAGCAGGTTCCAGCCAGCGATGATGAGAAGAGACCACTTTTGCTTCTGGAATGTGTAGCCGGGGTTGGACCATGGTCCAGCAGGCCAGCACACCCTTCGTTTCTTGTCAAGAAGTTCCTATGACTTGAGAGGGTCCTGGGAGCCGTGGCTTGCCACTTTTTTCTCTCACCTGGACTCAGGGACCTAGAGGCAGTCTTTTTTGTATTGGCCTGAGGCCTGGTAGTGTCTGCTGCAAAGCGGTCATCTTCAAAATTGATGTTGTTTTAACCTATGAGACTCTTGCTTTAACAGCCCTGGTAGGCAGAAGCTTTGTATAATAAAGCAGAGTTTCTCAGTCCTGGTGCTGTGGGCATTTGGGGCTGACGATTCTTAGTGGTGGGGGCTGCCCAGTGCATTATGGGATGTTCAGCAGCATCTCTAATGTCTACCCACTGTAAGCCATTGTTCCTCTCTTTCCCCAGCTGTGGCAACCACAGATGTGTCCAGATACCATCAAGTGTCTGCTGGGTGGCAAAATTACCTCCCTCTGAGCACCGCTGTATGAGGAGGCTAAAGCGGAGGTCATTTGTTTGAAGTAGGAGTGCTCAGCTGATGTGCTGCCCCTTTGCCCTCTCTCCTCCTTCCACTGTCTGTTTCTGATCGAAGCAGGGACGCCCAGATTGAGAGCAGGGCTGCAGGTTCCCGTGGGGGCCACCACCACCGTGCACTTTGCAGAATTGCATCGTCCCTTGGGCATTGCTCCAAATTCCTTTCCTCCACAGTGGGGGTGGGTTTGTAAGGTGTCCGGGCAGGAATGAGCTGGTCCAGCCTGTGGTCCTGGAATGGGTCAACCAGTCACTGGCCCGCACAGGGTTGAGGTGCCTGGGCTTCCTCTAGAAATGAATAGGTATTGCTTTTTTTTTTTTTTTTTTTTTTTTTTTTTTTTTTTTTTTTTTTTTTTTTTTTTTTTTTTTTTTTTTTTTTTTTTTTTTTTTTNTTTTTTTTGAGACAGAGTCTCACTATGTTACCCAGGCTGGAGTGCAGTGGCATGATCTGAGCTCACTGCAGCCTCTGCCTCCTGGGTTCCAGTGATTCTCCTGCCTCAGCCTCCCGAGTAACTGGGAATACAAGCGCATTCCACCACGCCTGGCTAATTCGTATATTTTCAGTAGAGATGGGGTTTCCCCATATTGGCCAGGCTGGTCTCGAACTCCTGACCTCAAATGATCCGCCCACCTCGGCCTTCCTAAGTGCTGGGATTGCAGGTGGTATTGATTGATTTTCAAATGACAACACAATGCTCAATGAAAACAACCTGGAGAGCCCAGAAAAATCACTAAAAAGGAGAAGCCATGTATAATTGTGCTAGGTTGAGGTGCTCACTTGGCGTTCACAACAGCAAACCGAACCTGCTCTTTTATTTTTTTAATCTATTTTTTAGAGTCTACCTTTTTCAGTGAAAATGGTGGTCTCCCTAATGTCACACACACACCAGCCAGCAGAGTCACAACCCTGACCCTCCTGGTTGGGTACCAAGTAGTGAGTTATAGGCAAACTTGGCAGCCACCCAGCTGATGCCATCCAGAAATGCCAGGGCCTCACCTTCACCCTCCTGCTCTTCCTCAGAACTTGCTCTGACATGGTGTCTATGCATTCCTTGAACCTGTGTATAAACTGCGGAAACAGTTTTTCCTGGAGGTCATGAATGACAGGTTTCTTACCCCTCCACATTCTGCCACATGGGGTTTTTATCAATGATTGCTGAGAAATGACAACTTCCAGCAGAAGCCCGATGCCATTTTTAGCTTGAAAACTGAGAACAAGACTGCTCAGTTTCTGTAAGGCATGGGAGGAAAGTACTCAGCACAGCCAGCTCTGCCGGAGGACTTACATGTGCTCCACACTGCAAAGGGGTTTGCTTTTTTTACCACAGTCTTTTGATCTTCACATCATTCTTAGGAGGCAGTTATTTTATTGTCCCATTTAACAGATGAGAAAACTGAGACACAGACAGAAGAAGGAACCTGGACAGGGTCATGTAGATAAGAGTACTGATGGGGCCAGGATATGCATCCTGACCATCAGCCTCTAGGGCAGGAGTCAGCAGCTGTTTTCCATAAAGGGCCAGAGAGTAAATATTTCAGGCTGTGCAGGCCATATGGCCTCTGTAGCAACTATTCAGCTTGGTCACTGTAGCTTGCCGTTAGCTATAGGTAACAGAAAATGAACGGGTATAAACATGGACATTTGAATTTCGTGTAGTTTTCATGTGCTACAAAATATAATTCCTCTTTTGATTTTTAAAAATGTAAACGCTATTTTTAACTCTGGGGCTGCAGGAAAGCAGGCAGCGGGGTGTAGCTTGGTGACGACTGGTGTGGAACCCTGACTCCCACCCACACTGCTGCACTGTGGCTATAAAAATGCTCTTCCCTGATTTAGGAAAACTCAGAGCTACCCAACAGAGGAGGTAGGGGGACCATTATTCTACTTGCCAGAGGACTCTTTGGATCAAGGAGTTCATTCATTTCTCTGCCGTATCTCAGTGCGTGCGTAAGTCAGGGAGGGGTCAATTGTGGGCATAAGCCACGAGGGTTCAGAAGGGTAAGGCTTTAGAACATGGCGATGACTGACAACCGTAACAACACATTTATGGGATTCTAACGTGGGCTGAGAAAAATGATTTCATTGATTTAAACAATTTGATCAAAGTCGCTTGTTGGGAGCAGATCCTTGGAGGAAGCTGGGCTCCCATGAATGGGGAGTATTCTGTACAATCATGGTGATCTACTTGGTAATTTACAAAGCCCCGGGAATACACTGGGCGACCTGGTGACACAGATAGTTCTACTCCTCTGGCGCGTTCTTTTCATCTGAAATGTTGCCAGGTTTCCTGCCATGGTGGGACCAGACCACCCAAACTGCCCTGGGGCTATAAGGCTTCCAGGGAGAAGACTTTGGTGTTGGAATCCAGCACCAACCTGGCCACCTGGTCCATGTCCCTGGCAGGTGCCAGTGTCTCTGGCTGCTCAGCAGGGACTTTGAGAGAATGTGGTACAAAACAGGTTCTCAGCATACCTTGTCACCGTGTGGCTCTGAAATGTTTCCAGAGGCCCTGGCAGCCATAGTCCTGCTGCCTTGCTGGCTCTGACTCGACTTAGTGGCAGATGGCAGAGCTGCGGGTGTGGTGGTGCCGGGGAGGAGACGTCTGGGGAAGGTGGCTGTCACTTTCCTGGCCAGAGCGTGCCTGAGCTAGTTCTGTCCCAGGATGAGCTGTCACCTCTCTGCACTCTTCACTAAGATGGTACTCAGACTTCATGGCCACTGATGAGAGTAAAATCCTAGGAGGATGGGGTGAGCAGTGGAAGGCCTTTTCCCGAGATCCTTTGGTGCTCCTTGGGATCACAGGTGTGTGTGAATGAGCATCTTTCATACACCTTCAGAGCTGCAAGGGCCTTGATAATAGCCTAATGGTGCTCAACCTGGGAACCCCAAAAGCAGTAATGAAGGATGTTTGTTTCTGGCATTTGGTCAATATAAAAATGATAAATCCAGAAATCACATCCATATCCATGACAAACCTTCTCATGTCGACAGAATGTTGAGTTTCTTTGCTTTGAGCTGGAATTTATGCACTGAATGAGTTAGCATGGGTTTGTGTCCGTTGATAAGAAGCTCTGTTAACAGTGATTTATATCTCTGATTAATAAATCCAAGAAGATGAATTAATTAGTGCTTAATAGATGTCGTGTGCTTGCTAGACATAAACCTCCTTAAATGTGGGATCTCTTGGGGCGAAATTCTAAAAGGAGATCTTTGCGATGGAAAGGGGAGAAACTGCTAATTCAGTATAACTCTCCTCTTTTACAAATGAAGACGTGGGAGGCCCAGAGAGGTGGAAGCACTGGCTCAGAGTTGTTGGGTCCTGAAGTCTTGAATGAAGCTAGAGTTTGTGTCCTCCAGCGCCAGGCTCCCGTTCTTGACACCCTAGTGCCTCCAGGATCCTTAGGTGGCCCCCATTCTCTGGAGTCAGCTCCATCAAATCAAGCCATTGGTTTTCTTGAGCTCCAGGAGGGATTGAGCTGTGGTCACCCAAAGGGGTCTTCCAGGGTCTAGACCCTGGTGATGCTGGAAGTAGGTGTGTCCCTCCTTGGCTATGCCCACTGGCCAGCCACCCCCTCCTTTTATAAAGCCATGTCATTTGTCTTTATGGGCAAGAACTAAGGAAAACAAGGGCCAGTCCTTAGGAAATTCTGAATAGGAAGAAGAAAGAAATGGAACAGAGGAAAACTGGGTTAGGAAGGCAAGCAGGGAGATTGAACTTCACGTCTTTAAATAGTATCTTTTTTGAACTGACGGGGAGACATTCAATGCAATCCATGGGCCAGGCACTTGGAACCCATGAATTCAGTTAATTCTCGCACCAACCCCATCAGGCAGACAGTGTGAACCTCAGCATGCAGAAGAAGAAACTGAGGCTCAGAGATAGTGAGTTGGCAAAAAGCCTGACTCTCAATTTGGCTCTCAGTTAGCACATCTGGGATTCAAGCCCAGGTCTCTGTGGCTCCAAAGCCAGCCCCATTTCTGTTGCCTCTGCCTGACCCTAACCTTTCCCCCTCCCCTGCAGACACATAGAGAACTGGCGCAGTCTCCACACGCTCAACGCCGTAGACATGGAGCTCTACACCGGACTCCAAAAGCTGTGAGTACACCCGGCCACAGAGAGGCCTTTCCCTGTGGAAGGGGTGGGTGTCACCTGGTCTGCCTTCTGGGGTGGAGTGAGGGGCACAGCGAGGCTGCCATCGGCGATTTCCCTCCATGAGTCCTCTTTTGGTAGAATCGGGAACACACTTAGGAGACACCAGAGGCTTCAAAGGCCATCTGCTCACACCCCCTCATTTTTTCCTAGTCTAGTGAGGCAAGGGGGTTGTGTGAAGTCCCATCTCGAAGGCAGGGTTTCCAGGCAGGCCTGGGAGCCAGGCACGGTGGGCAAGTGCCCTTTCCCCAGCCTTATGCTTGACTGATGAACCCCCTGGAGTATGAGATTTCCCAGCTACCTCCTCCCTTGGATGTCAGTGTTAGAGACTGTGAGGACCTGGAGTGGGGAGAGGGACAGAAACAAACAGAGCTGCAGCCCTGCCATTGCTGGACCAGCAGAGGCCCTGGTCCTTACCCACTGGCCAGGATGGGTGGAGGGCAGCCGCCAGTGCCCCTGACATTCCAGCCTCACACAGGGCCCTGGGGCGTGTGAGCCCAGATGCTTTCACTGAGCATCCCCAGCAGGTCACCAGTGATGAGTAGCAATGAAGAGGGCGGATGACCCACAGGGCGGCTGCGGGGCCAGTCTTGGCCTCACCCTCCCCAGCCTCAGCCCAGAAAAGACATCCCTCTGCCACTTGAGCTCTGCTGAATCTCTTTTTCGCTCTGCCTAGGACCATCAAGAACTCAGGACTTCGGAGCATTCAGCCCAGAGCCTTTGCCAAGAACCCCCACTTGCGTTACATGTGAGTAGAGCTGGGCTTCTGGGATGGGGGGCACATGGCAGGGACTCTGAGGGCAGTGAAGCCACAGACCTGAGGCCTAGATCTGGCTTTGCCTCCGGGGGCTCTTGGGCAACTTTTTGAACTTTTTTGGGCCTCCACTTTTGCCTCTTAAAATGATTGTTTTGGATTTGATGATCTCTAAGGTTCCTGTCAAAAGGGCTTAGAGGGAGAGTCAGTCTCCTGACACCCAAGTTTGTTCACTTTCATGATAAAACTCGGGAATCTAAATGATAGGGAATTCCACCCATATGTAATGTGAATGCTACACTTCTAAGACCATAAGCAGGCCCATAAGAGTGCGTATATGTGTGTTAGGATTGGGGGTTGGAAGAAGAAAGGAAGCATGGCCAATAGCCAGTGTTATGCCTAAATAGATTCTGGGTTCAATGGGAAAAAGTTCAGAGAAGTGGAGACACCTGTCTAAGGTCACACAGCTTTGTTTGGGACAAGCTGGAGGTCAGATGGTTATGGGTGGGGGGTCCTGTCTGTGCCTCCTTCACCCTGTCTCTCCCCTTTCTTTAGTGGGGATAAAATCACAAGAGTTGATGCTTCCTCTCTCTGCCCAGTTCTGGGCTGATAGACTTTGGTATTCAATTGAGGATTGCCATTTCCTGGGGAGAAGGTGGGCATGAAGGGAAGCCTGGGGTGAGTGATTAGGGGACGCGCCAACCCGCTGCACCCATAGAGAGGTATTCGTTGTCTGGGTCAACTCCGAGAATGGTGGCCATCTTGGACATCCACTGGGCATGTTTCCTAAGAGCAGAGGCTCTGCAGGAACCAGGTGGGGAGGGGTCTGTGGCCTTTTGGGAGGAGGTGGAGAAATGGTGTGCTTGGGCCTAGTCTTTCCTGTGGCCACTTAAAAGTTTCACTGACTGAGCACTTTGCATTTGGTAAGGAAGGGCAGCTGGGCTGGAGAGAAATCGCACGTGCAGGGGCAGAGCAGGCAGGAGAGCCGTGGGAAGCGGGGGGTAGGGGAGGAGGGGAAAGAGATGACAGTGAATCCTGGTGGAGGAGTTGTTTTTGCTCTTCAGGGGGGGCCTGACCTTGCCCCTGGGCTCTGTGTGTTTTCCCAAGCGCATACTGCGTGCTTGATAAATATTTGTTTATCAGTATGGCCACCTCTGCTTTGTGAGAGCTTTCTTTTCTCCCGCTGGAAATAGCAGGTTCTGTGGCCACTGCTCAGGGCCAGATGTATCAGCTCCAGGGGACTGAGACCTCCCTTTCAACTGTCTAATTTGCCTGTTGCCCCTTGCCCCAGGGTAGCCTCTGTGGTGAGAGTCTCCTGGTGTGTGTTCTTTGCAGCTGGAGGCATAGCTGGGACCAGAGGAGGGCCTGGGACCAGATGTTCCAGGTGTTTATTTTATTGGGGGTTTGAGTTTCACTGTAAAACACCCCAAACACTTTGGACATCTAAGAAGTCTTCCTTTTCGTACCAATTCATACAAAGGTCACAAAGTCAAATGCCCATGGTGGACCAGGTGGGGCCACGTGTCCCCTCCAAAGATGCAACCAGTCATCAGTTCCAGCTGACTGCTGCCACGTGGAGGTGGGGACTGGTCAGACTTGTTTCCAGGAGACTTGGAGGTTCCATAAAACCACTCAAGTTTTAAATGCTGCCAACTAAAAACAAGACCCTTCAACTCCATGGCCAAACGAAACTAATTCCATGAGCAGAATGTGCCACAGAGTGCCAGCTTGTGGTGCGAGGTCAGATTTGGGGGAGGACACGGTCGATGTGGGAGAAACCCTGTTCTCTCTGAGGACAGGGGCTGGGTGCACAGGCCCCAGAGCCTTCTAGGGTACGGTGTCCCTGCAGCTTTTAGGGAGATGGAGAGGCTTTGGGACCCAGCAGGTTTCTACAGGCTCAGGATGGGGAGTGGGGTTGCATCCTGGGCTGCAGGTGTCTCTGAAGTGGGTTGTACCAGAGCATGTCTTTGACTTGCCCTTGAGGATCCTGGAAGAGAGCTGTGATCCAGTGTCTCTTTTGGGATGGTCTGGGGTCAGCTGAGTGGCGGCAGCAATAGAGGCTGGCGCAGGTTGGCAAGATTTCCTAGGCTTTGTGGGTAGGGGGACCCCTTTGGAGTAGGACCCAAGGATACCGTGAACCTGCCCGTGACCTTGGGCCCTGTTTTCTCCTGAACACATTGGCCAGCTCTTGCCAAAGTACTTGCTGTTGGCTACAGGGGATCACCAAGAAGGATGGATGACCATTAGCTCACCCCCGGCTTGAGTCTGGCTGTGCATTAGGGGCACGTCGGGGTGCTCAACCTAGTGCAGGAAAGTCCGCACCCAGTCCAGTGGCTCTGATAGGCACAGTGAGGCACCCAGAGGAGCCTGGGGCTCACGGAGAAATGAGTCAGTAGAACGAGGCATAGGCACTGGCTTCATCCACGGGTTTTATTTATTAACTTTTGTTATTTGTGAAGACACACATCAAATCCCAATTGAGTAAATTTCCCAGCAGCTTTGGGACATTTTCTCCTGGCAAATGAGCCAGGTTTCTCTGATGTCTCACAACATCTATTTCTGTCCTCTAAATGCATTTACAAGTCTTCTGGCCCCAGCTGAGCAATCACAAGATGATCACTTACTCCAACACTAATTGCCGATCCCTGGCTTGGCGGCTTTTTTTTTTTTTGGGGGGGGGGCGATGGCTGAGAAGTCTTTTCTTCTCTCCTCTGCATAAAATTAGAAGTAGGAAGTGATATCATTGCCCCAGTACTGATGTCAAATTGTCCAGGTTGTTCTGATTGGTTGAACTGTCTCCCGCCCCTAAGCTCCTGGTGAGTTAATCAGTGTAATTCTTCCTCATGCCAGAAAATGAATTGACAAAATGTTGGTCAGCTTGTCTGCTACAAAGTGGGCTGGAGATTAGAACCCTGGGGCCCTACTTGTGGTTTATGAGTGACTGATCATCTCCTCTTGATTGCTTCAGTTTTCTCTACCTTTTGTAGAACGTGGGAAAGGAGACATGGACAAATATACATCAAGGGAAACCCTTTTTTGAGAGATGGGAATACTCTCCACCCTCGTGTCCCTTCTCTGACCTTAAGGACTTTGGATTAAGGGTTTTTAAGGATAAGAATTTCTGAGATTGACAGTTGGAATAGCTATGTGCTAATCTGAAAAGTGGGCCTCATGTTAGCGTCAATTCTAGGGACGGGATGTGGTTGAGATTAAACAGTAAGAGGCACACACAGCTCTCAGCCCAGCGCGCAGCAAGCAGTGAGCGTTCAGAGAGGGCAGCCGCTAGTAGTGTTAGTAATTATTGTTATTATTGCTGGTGGTGATGATGGAGTCAAAGAGAAGGGGTTAGGTGACCTTGGTGGGTATTCTGACCCCTTCTTTGTCCTGGAAAAGTTGAATTTCTGTCCCACAGGGGAGCCCACCTCTCTGGTGACCAGAATACTCTTACTCTGCAGTGTCTTTCTTCACTGTACACTGCTGAATAAATCCGGATAAGTTCTTTATTCTCTCCATTTATCTCCGCTTGCTCTAGACTGTATGTACACCTCTCTGTCGATGCTGTCAGTTTCAGAGAGGACCTAAGCAATTGCAACTGATGAGCTGACAGCTTTCTTTATCTTCACCTGAGTTCCGATCGCGTCCACCAGCGTTATTGAACCTAGGTTCTTGGAGTCCTCTGAGCCCTGCCTCTGCAGCCGGCCCCTCTTTCCCTTTATGGGTCATGTTTTCTGTGGCATGGCTCACCCAGACTAGATTACACAGTCTGGGATCCCCATACCTGAAGAACGTAGATGTCTGTCTATGAGTTGCACTCAAACAATGATACTTCCTTTCATTTGTAGAGCTCTTCATGGCTTTCAAAGTGCTTTTCAGTACATTATCTCATGACCATCCTGGGGGCAGGGGTGTGGTAGGCAGCTCTTTTTTCCAGTACAGGCGGTAGACCCGGAGAGGGTCTGACTTGTAAGCGGCAAAAGTAGCCCTGCACCTAAGTCCTCTGATTCTCTTTCCAGGAATCTTTCCACTATACCCCATGGGTCAGAAGAGGCAATGTTTTTTCACAGAAGCAATTTAAAAAGTTACTAAGTTTTACTAATCATTACTATGTTTAGAAAACCACATAAAAATGCTGGTATCCAAAAAAATAAAAAATAAAAAAAAAGTAAGATCCAAACAGAAAATGACAGGAGGTTCTTAGATGGGAAGACAGTATCATGAGTCTAACTTCCCCAAATATTATTATGAAAATTTAATGTAATTTTAACCCCTAATTGGATTAAATTGTCACAAACTTCAAAGGCTGCGAATAGCCAAGAAAGGCAGTAAAAAGAACAGTCGGCAAGGGTGGGGTTGGGAAAAAGCTCTGCCTGACCATATTCTAAAGCCATCAGTAACTGAATCCATATAATATTGTCATATGAAAAGAGACCTGTAAATGAAACAGCATTACATATTGAGAAATCAACCTCATTAAATATACAAATTTAATATAAAAAAATGCTGGTATCAGTAAAGAATAAGGAAAGGCTAATACTGGTTGAGCACTTGATGTGTGCCAAGGACTGTACCCGGTGCATTTGCAACTATGAGCTCACTCCTCACAGTAACCGTAAGTTGGGGCTCCTCTCTCCCCATTTCATAGATGCAAACATGGAAGCTCAGAAGTCAAAGCAGTTCTCCTGAGGTTACGCAGTAAGTTAGAGGAACAGTCAGGATGTGGACTCTAAATCCTTTGAATCTGAGGTCCGTGTACTTTTTTACATCCCAGGAGTGTTTTGTCTCTCTGGTTTTCACAGCAAGAACTTCTTATAGGAGGGGTGGGCATCTTTAAAGTTCTGTGAAAGAGCCGCTCTTTCCCCCTGGGGATTCAGCTCGATCCATCCTCAAAGAGCTCTGTTGAGAAAGCTCTGTTTAGTTTCTCTTCTTATTCAGGTCAAATCCTATAATGACAGTTATGTTACAACCTGAATATCTTTATTATGAAAGATTTCTTA